CTCGTTTGTCGTGAGAGTTCAATGAGAAGAGGAGAGCATATTGTGCTGTTCCTTGGTGCTCTTCTGAGTCCTGGCAGAAGGAAAGAATGATGGTGTCGATTGACATCTCCACCACAGCAAAAAATAGAGCGGCAACAATGTAACCGAGACCCCAGCAAGCCTGCATAAATATATAATTCAAGCATTAAGATTCAATCTTGGGGAATGATATCCTTATGGTTTTTCGAAAATTGAATACAGTATCACAAATCACCATGCAGAATAGCAAGTTTTACACCAGATATTCGTTGCTTGAACTGTAATAAGATTAATATTCAGAATTTCGACATTGACAATTGTTCAGGAAAATAGAAGTTGACTTGCAGCTATGCCGGTCACGAATTGAGGAAAATATAGGATAACAGGAAACAACAGGGCTGAAATTTCGATGTATCTAGAATTAAGCAAAACATACCAAAACAGGAAAGAGCGGGGATGAGATTTTGTCATGAGCAGATCTGTATTTGTGGGTATCCAGCATGAGAAAAGCAAAAATAGCACTTGAAAGGCTGACACACAACTTCCCAAGAAATAGTATAACGTCTCCAATCACGTTCACCCTTCCTATCCTAAGGATGTTGTTAACAATTAACTCGGTTGCAATTGCAGAAGCCTTACAGAAGCTTTTCCCAGTTATTGCAATCTGCAAGAATAAAAGGCAAATGTCTAGTAAATGAACTGAAATTACCAAAGGTTGATAAGTCAAGATGTCGATAATGGCTTGAATCACATTGGTTTTGATGAATGTCCTTGATATTTTAATTTTGCCTCCCCTATCGTTTCCTAAAACATATAATTCATAGCTGGACCTCACAGGCTCCAAAGTCCCACGTTAATTTTTATGCATCCAAACAAGAACTAGGAAACAATATTCAGGACAAGTCAAGGATTATGTTCTCCTGTCATTATCTTCAAAGCATGCATCAACTTACAAGCTCACCCACAATTCTAGTTCGAGAATTACCATTATATAGGCATTGCGGTTGAAAGATTTGGTTGTCCACTCAATGCCCCTTAGACAGCCCCGAGAAATGTAGAATGCCATCCTTCCAAGCCAATTTTCTGGAATACTGCCAGAAACTTTCAGTTTGCGACGAATTGACTCGAGCATGAAGCGGATTGATTCCACAAATGAGACAGTCAAGGAGCCAAGGGCAACAGACCCAAGGCTATATTTGATGAGTCGCTTCATAGAGGAGAAAACTGGAAGAAACGGAATCTCTGGCTGCATCAGTTAAGAAGGTAAAAACAATCACGGTGGGAAGAAGTATGGAATGATAAGAGACAGCAACGATTGAAAAGATACAAAGCAACTGCATTCATACTCATAGTGTATGCTATTTGTATATTTTTTATGATAATATACTTTAATATGGTTACAGAGATTGGTGAATAAATGTACAGATGCAGTAAATATTTAAATATTATTTGTAACTGAAGTCAAGAACAACCAAGGCTGCTAAAGTTGCTTCATACACTGAATCTTATCCATTATATAAAAGGAGCAATGAGATTTAAGCACATAAAATAGAAACCCTGATTTAAATATTATTAATTCCCAACTGTCATTCTTTAAGATTAAGAGAAACCACTATATTACTCCTGCCTGTAATAACATACTTGTTTCAACACTTGCCCTCTTATTACATGAGTAAAAACATCCACCAAACTGGAAATACACTGATTACAGCATTGACTCAGAGAAAACAAGGCTGGCTGGCTATTGCTTCTATAAAGTTGGAGAATCATTTCAGCAGGTGCAGCTCCTATAAACTTTCAGAATACTTTCACTCCTTGGAGGTTTGATTTCATTTATGATTTATATTTATACAACGTTACAAGGGACAGTTCCCCTTGAGGCGAAACTCATTTAGAACATAACAAGATAAGAAATATGATATAAAAAGTCTAAAAGTAGTTACGAAGTTGACTGCATATACATATTGTTCTAAATCTCCCCTCAATCTGAGTGGTGATGCATGCAAAGATTGGCTCTTTAATAGTGAAAACATATCGAGATAAGAGCTTTGGTGAAGATGTTCCGTCAATTGTTCTTGACTTAGGATATAACAGACATGCAGTTGTCCTTATTGGACCTTCTCGTGGACCAAGCGAATGTCCAACTCAACATCTTTTGAACGTGCATGCTGAACTGGATTAGAAGCCATGTAGCACTAATGTTGTCACACCAAAGAGTAAGTTTGGCCTCCAAAGCTACATGTAGTTCATGAAGTAAGTTTTGGAGCTAGGTTAAATCAGCCATAGCAGATGCAACTGCTCGATACTCCACTTCAGCACTAGAGCATGAAACAGTAGGTTGTTTCTTGGAACTCCATAAGACCAAATTGGAACCTGAGCCAGTTTCTCTGGTGACGATCCTTGAGAATGTGGCTAAGAGCCTGGAGTCAATACAATGCATATTCTTATTAGGAGACTCTAAGGAGAAGAGAAGATACCATCTTGTAGCCTAGGACAAGGTCAAAAAGCCAATCAACTCGGTGGGCTGGGTCTGAGATCACTGGTGGAGGTCAATATGACCCTCCAGGGAAAACGACTTTGCAGATTCATGAACGAAAATAGGATCTTTGATAGAGGGTGAATGAGATGAAGTTTGGTACTGTAGACAAAGGATGGTTCACTAAGGAGGGGTCTACACTATGTATCAGGATGTGGAAGAAAATTTCCAAGGGGTAAAAGAAGTTCCAAAACTGCATCAAATGTAGGATTGGCACTGGCAACAAGGTCAGTTTATAGCATGATGCTTGACTACGAGTTAACACTCTCAAAGTCCAGTTTCCTCAGATTTACACTATCGTTTGGTACAAGGACGTATTGATCCAGAACTCCTACATTGGCAATATGGAAAATTCGAAGTGTTTAATGGAGGTCACAAGGAATCTAAATGATTAGGAAGTTAGGAAGTACGAAGCCTTATTCATTGCCCTTGCCAAGGTTAGGCCTCATAAGATGAAACACTAATCCCTTTGAAATCTGACAAAAAGGGAGGTATGGGTAGAGATTTTTCATCCAAGCAAATTTGGAAGGTTAATATTAGCATTGCCCAAAATTGCGTCTTTTGCATGGGAGGCAGTTAAAGGGTGCATTCTAAATCTGGACAAGCTGATTACAAGGGTATTACTTGTGCAAGAGGGATGCGAAGTCATACAACCATATTATATTGTGGTGTCCCGCTGCCTACAGGAGGTGGAAGTTTCAGTTGTAGAACTCATTAGATATGAAGATCAAGAGAGCTTACACATCATCATGTGTACATATACAAAAGTGCGTCCACCTTGAGGTGGACTCTGAAAAGAAAATACAAATATTTGTTATATAAACTGACAGAGAATGTAATTCCTATTGGTTTCAGACGATGATCTCAATACCAAACCATAATCGAGAGCATTGAACAGAGTAGAATAGTAATTCAGGAAACAGTAGGCCATCAGGCCCAAGGAAAAGCAGAATTCATGAAAGTTCTAGGAACTGATCACTTATCTAGAAAAAAAAATTACTAGCTTACCGATGTTTCACCACGAGCCCAATAATAAGAGGCAACAGAACCCGCAATCACAGTTGCAGATGATGCTATGAAAAACTGTGTAGCCCAGTAACACCCAAATAGATGGAAAAATATAGCAATTGCAATATGAGGAGTGTAGCTGATGCTATAACCACAGCAATGATCACAGTTCACTCGTTTGGAGACAAGATCATAAGCACAACAATTGGAATTGCAATTATTCTGGATAATATGGCCTGAACTGAACAGATGAAGGCCAGCTGATATCCAGAACATGTAAAATATTCCAAGAACCGCATATGGTATGATTGGAAAAATTATGAGCGCTCGAACCTCTCCTATGACCTTTGCAGCCACCTAGATACAGATCAGAGCATATATTCATCAAGAGAGGTGATCATTTATTAGGAAAAAAAAAAGTGATTTACAATGTAATCTGAAACCAGTAACACTAAAAAGATAGAAATTATGAGCGGTTTTCTACCACATGATAGAAATACTCCATATGTATCTCCTACTTTTTAACATCACTTTGAACTCCAAAGCGCCAAGCAGCAATCGTCTCAGAGTCATAGACATGAGAGTCCATATTCTTATAATTTACATGTAAAATTTAGAGGCCACACTTGCCTTGAGAACTGATGTTGCCATGAGGATGCGGCGGATGATGGCAATTGATGTAAGGACAGAAACAACCATAATAAAAGTCATAAGAATTGCAACGGCCCTTAGATGATTAAGCTCCTGAAATATGTAAGTGCTGATCAAATAATAACATTGATGACTGAAGACCTTCAAATATGAACTTATTAATGATAGAACCCACCCGTCCAAATACGTGATAATATGGATCATGCTCACCAATGATGGGAGATACAGCATCATTTCCAATCCATCCAGCTAAAAAGCAAGAAATAAATAATAAATTCAGAATGATCTCATGTATGATTGCAATTAAATATACAAGGAAAGTAGCGAAGTTGACTCCTTGAGTATAGTTCAGTGACAATTTTAAATTGAATGATCTGATTCATCGTAAGATTCAAATATCACTCCTGAAAATAAGTCTAGATTTGGACTAGTTTAAGCACTAAAGTGATATAACCATCAAGAATGTGAACATAGCAAGGCACAGACATACTGAGGATGGTTCTCAGAACTGTGAAGTCTGTATAGCATGACTATCATTCCATCAACAACAACCACAAAGATCTAGAGTTTTAACATAGCCTTGATGATCAATATATATCTTCAAGCCTGTCTTCCTGGAAATATCCCTAAGCTAAGGAAACCGATTCTGGGTATTCTATAGGTCCAACCATTTCATGGCACTTACTGCAAACCTAAACATATTAGTATCCCAAACAGTGCTGTCGCGAAATGTGGACAAGAGCAAAGGTGTGTGCAGCCAATTTCACTATGATTATGATTTTTTACAATAACACAGGAGTTTCCTCATATTTATAGGTTATTAACCTTTACAAGCAAACTTTGCATCCTAGACACAACAAATATTATGATTTTTACACATCAAAGGGCTGAAAGTCAAACAAACTGTAAATTCTAAACATTAGACCAATAAAAGATAATTCAAGGAAATCGCTGACCACAATGCAGGACCAGTGAGTTAACAATTAAACAATAATTTTTGCATTACCAATGTTCTTGTAGATATCAGATTCTAAGCAGCTGAGCACAAACTAGCTTCAAATTGCTAGAAAATTATAAAGCAATATACTTCTTAAGAAAGCTCAGACTCATAAATAGCAGCTCTAGTTTCTTTTTTTAACTGAACTATGGGGAAAGAGCAGGAGAGGATATATTTCTCACCTTTCAAGTAGTAGAACATTGTGACTGCTATTATGAGTATATTAAAGATGGCAACAGTTATCCAAGGCATTGCAACAACAAAATGTCGAATCATCAGCAACCAAATCACTGACAAAAATAGCGGCAGGAGTCCTCCACAAACAATCAAAACAGGCCATGACTTCCCAATATCAGCCACATAGCGCTGCAGATTACAAATCATGAATTAAGAGCAACAGAATATATGCTATTTAGTTTCATATTATACAGAAGAAAAATTAGTGATAATTCAATATGGAGAACATGAAAATTGAACTTTTGTCAAAGAAAGGAACTCGATTGATCAGATTTTGAGAAAGACACAAGTGGTTTATTTGACTGCACTACCCAAATGTGGCCACTCTTTCGATGATTTTTTTAAAAGAAAAGCATAGTAACATCCTTTTGATAATTGGTGACCAATTGTATCACATGGAAGATTTCAGGGGCAGATTGGATCTCTGAAGTATAGTATCATAACCACCAAACTTCCAGGCCAATTCCATCAAAGACTTTGTACATCTTTCTCAATAGCATAAGACAGGTAAAAGATTTTCCACCTCCAAACCAGAAAAATAGAACAAGCTTAGTATGTTCCTCTATTAGAGCTCCTTCTGGAACCTAACACTTGGGAAGACAAATGATAAAATCAGTGACATTTTGTTGAATGATGCTGCAGGTAGCCAGGTATGGGCAGGAGTTCAGAATGCTGCTGATGAGTAACATAAGAGTGAGTGCCCACCATTTATTACAAACATCTTTTAGATATTCATTATAGTGACATTTTCCAAACTTCTTTTCCTTTTGAAATGAGAAAGGTCATTCGGGAAAACATACGGTGAAGAAAGTTGATGGGTTAGTTACATGTCTTCCTGGACAATTCTACAGGCATAAGATGTAACAAGAAAAAAGATTCCTGAACCTTTAGAACCGATGACCGAGAATTGATGGACCTGTGGATTGATTTATCTATTATAATGTCTTCCCTGATGTTCACACCACCCATCTGCTGCCAATGCCGCAAAGATGTGTTTGATGCACGAGCAATAAATTGGCAGCTCCAATAAACTGGGAAAATATACTCTATTGTTAGATATACAGTTATGAGCGAAATTATTATTAACTGGTAGACTGAACCAGGAAGGATTTTCCCTGCATGGGTTCTATCGGATTTATCCCATTGCAGATGTGCACATGCATAGACACCAGCCAATGAAATAATATAGTAAACAATATATAACAGAAATTACAGGAAAGCAAATTCAAATTAAATTACCATTTACACTTGGAAATATAACAGGATAACAGGGCCCCTGAAGTTGAAGAGAAGTGTTTCGCATCTCTGGTGTAAGGAACTCAAAATAATCATAATTCCTATCAATCCAGTCATCCATAGAAAGACGAATCTCTCCTTCTGGATAGTCACACACCCAGTTTAGTGAATCTTCCGAAGGGTTTGGGCAATCCAACAAGCATATACTCCGGGCATCAGCCAACTTGAATTGGTCATCCTTCAGACCGCTTTGATAAACCTGATTAGGATTTAACCAGTATCTAAGTTCCAGTTGACGAAGGCCAGGATGAGCATGCTTGTCACCACACACATTCCCTTTATAGTCCAGTCCATAGATGAGCCTAGAAGCAAGATGCAAATAATCATAGTAACAAAAGGCAATTACAAAAGCACAAGAAGCAACAAAGGACATTAAAATGTAACAGAAAAAAGAAACAAGAAAGCAGAAGATAGACAATAGTAAGATGACAGTTCACTACATTCGAATCAAAACAAAGCACTGGTTGAAGGCAAATTTTGTAAAAGAACATCATTCCAAGAGTTCACATTGCCATCTTTTAGGACATTGGCCCCCAAAATATGTATCTAATCAAAATTGAAGGGCCTGTGTCAATTCTTCAATATTGCTATCTTTCTATCTTTCAATAAACAACAGTACAGTAATATCTCCTAAGAATTGGAGATAAACATGGTACCAGGGATAAAACATGCCCAAAAGAAGTGGGAGGGGAAGAAACCTTGTTTCAGACCTCAAGATGCAAAGCAGTTAAAAGTAAATTGAAAAAAAAAAAATCATTATCTCGTTTGTAATCTGATCACCAACTGCTTCCTTTTGAGACAAAGCAACTAAACAAGCAGCACCACTCAATAGTTTCACTCCTTACGTGGTGAAGCTACCTTAAAACTCATAGTCAGGGATAGATGAGGAATATGCGCATAGAATGGATATCTTACACTAGAAATACTAATTTAAATTACCATGCACTCATCTAAAAGCTGTTTAAGACAGGCAAGCAACAAAATCATAGCACTATGCACTAGTATGTTTCGATGAAGCAGCATCTCTCTGCTATTCCAGAAGGAAATCAAAGACAATTTGAAACAAAGGGCATAGAGATATAACAATTAACCTAGTCAAAAAGGAAGAAAATTTGACTACATGCTTCCGTTGCTACCAAAAAAAACCCCTGTACGAACCTAAAAAGCCATTATCAGAGAGCAGTAGCTCCTAATCACTTCAATCACCGTCAATAAGATTACTTGACTCACCACTATTTTGCCGCTACTCAAAAACCTACAGAAAAGAAACTTAAAACAAACTCTTGGGAGTATCCAACTTTAAATGCCTAACCTTTCGGGGTAGACGTAGAATGGGGCAACAACTACACATTACAAATAAATGGAGGTATCTTTAACACTCGTGTTCCAAATTTTGAGCACAAGAAGACCAGGAGGCACTCACAAACGTTGCCTAAACCTAAACAATTCCAGCATAATATCCAAGAAAATGAAAAAGCTGCTGAAATGAAGTGTTTCAAAACAGAGGTTTTACCAAAACAGGGAAACCCAATTGAGAAACAAAGAGATTAACGTCAAAACTTAACATAAAAATCACAAAGCGAAAAAAATATATATATATTTCCAAAACAGAAGATACCCATCCACTTGAGATTTTAAAACTTCAAAATCAGTAAAAAAAAATAAAATGACTGTAGTTCAAATCTATACCTTAACGGATTCCCTTGGTTGAATCCAAAGCTTGAGTTGACGATCATGGCAACCCAGAATGCTATAAAGACGACAAGAAAAGCAACATCCCTGCATTTCCTGTTGCGCCTAACGATCCCGTCCGTCTGTGCAGTCCCGTCGCTTGATGGGTACCTTCCTATCACCGCCCCCAGAGGTCCTCTCATGTCTACCTCCGTCGCTCACTTTACCTCAACAACTCTATATCCAACAACCTGTCAATCCCCAAACACTGCAATGGAGAATTGGCAAAGAAAAATGCGAACTTTTTAGGGGGGGGAAAGGTAGAGAAAGAGCTGCAATAGTAGTAGAGTGGAAGCTTAAGAGTGAAAAATAGGAAAGAAAAGGGTTTTAGATTTGGAAATAATTCTTTAATGATTTTTATTTTGATTTTAAGACAAAGATATCATGCTCTGCTTTGTTTAACTTAAAATGGAGAATCAATGTCCATGGGCGGCTTAGACTTGGAGAAGACAGACAGATATACAGACAGCTTTATCTGGCTCGGCTTCATCGGCTTGGCTTATGAGATTTTATTATATTTAATATAATTAATATAAATTATAACATCTAATTACAAATTAGCCTTCACTTAACATTAAAAATATATATATATATTTCACATTTATATTTGTTTCTAAATTAAAATTTGGACATTAATTAAAGAATAAAATTTTATATTTTATATTTTAAAATATAAATAAAATTATTTCAATCATATAAATCAAATTCACATTTAATTCTATCTTTATTTTTTCATTTAAATTATATATTTAATTTTTATTTACCTAAATAAAAATATAACGATGATTCGGATCATTAAATCTCGTTACAAGTTATTAATTCTTATTTTATATGATCTTAAAAAATTTATTATATTTTATTTTATATTTATCTTATGTAAATTTTAACTTTTATAATTAAATTTTAATTATAATTTTATATAGTATTGAATAAATATTCGATAAATAATAATTATAAAAATACCTTATTTGAATCACACTACAAATTTTGATTTTCAATTAAATTTTTTTAATTGAAGCCACTAGTTCATGACTAATAAAACAAGCCATTATGGGTGTATATATATATATATATATATAGTTATTTATTTATTTTAATACAAGTATAAATTAAACAAGGAGTATAATTTGTAAATAAAAATATCTCCATCCTACGTCGTTTCGGTGAATGCGGCACATATTCCCTCCATCACAACCGTTGATTGTGTTGAAAAAGGAATGGTACACATCTCGATACGACAATCCAACGGCTCAGATAGACTGTTTCTTTAAGAGATTCCTTTGTGATGTGTGAATTGGGCTGGGGTTAATATTTTTTAAATGGATACTTTATATTTACATTTTAAATTAATTATTAATATTATAATAGTAATTTGTTATTTCAATTTTTTATTTAAATATTTTTTTAGTTACTTCTTATTACGTGGTTTACATATCTCATAACATTTGTATCTTATATACATGCACACATACATATTTTAATTTCTTAATTAAAATAATTATACATAAAATTAAAAAATATTTTTTAATTTCATATTTCCAATAAATTTCTATTAATTTATCATACATTTTATTAATAAACAGACGCAGTATATGTATAAGACTTCCATGTCATATACCTGTTTCTTCATAGAAATTTCATGTAAATCCCAAAATTTCAAACTCATATCACACGTTCACTAATTTCTGTTTTGACATCACTACAGGATCCATTTTGACCGTGTAGAATGGGGCGAAGGCAAAGTCCTCCATACACACTTGCCTATATAAATAGGTAGCAATGCAAGTGTCAGGCCAAACCCAACCTCTAAAGAAGGAAAGAAAGCTAACCCATAATGGCAAAGGCAAATCATAAGCTAAAACACATAGCTCTACTAACCTGCCTTGTGGTTAGTGGCATGATCAATGGGTCTAAAGCAGGCATAATCTCGGTCTACTGGGGTCAGGATGGGAATGAGGGGAGCTTGGCTGATGCTTGCTCCTCAGGCAATTATGGCATTGTGAACATAGCCTTCTTGGTTAGTTTTGGCAATGGCCAGAATCCAGGACTCAATCTTGCGGGTCACTGTGACCCATCAGCTCCTGGTAATTGTGCCAGGTTTGGTGATGAGATCAAAGCTTGCCAAAGTCAAGGAGTTAAGGTCATGCTCTCTCTTGGTGGTGCTAGTGGCGGCTACTCCCTTTCTTCTGCTGAAGATGCTAGGCAAGCATGATTTTTTCTTCATCACATTTAATATTTCATTCGATCGTTATTAAAAAATTACCCTTTACAATTTGACGTAATGCATTATACATAGAATAATTCTTTCTCTAGGATATTATTCATTATTCATCATTCAAGTAGTTTTCTACGACATTGAATGTATAGTTCTTAATTTCAGGCAAGTTGCGACTTATCTATGGAACACATACCTTGGAGGTCAACCAGGAACAGGTCCATTTGGCGATGCAGTGTTAGATGGCATTGATTTTGACATAGAGGGAGGCACAACACAGCACTGGGACGAGCTGGCCAGAGCCTTATCAGCATTTAGCCAGCAGAGAAAGATTTACTTATCGGCAGCTCCGCAGTGTCCATTCCCCGATGCTTGGCTCAACGGAGCGATACAAACAGGCTTGTTCGATTTTGTCTGGGTTCAATTCTATAACAATCCTCCTTGTGAATATGATGGCAATGTTGACAATTTCAAAGCTGCTTGGAATCAGTGGACATCAACTCAGGCTGGACAAGTATTTTTAGGGCTCCCTGCTTCTAATGAGGCTGCTGGAAGTGGGTTTATATCTCCTGACGTGCTTGCTTCTCAAGTTCTGCCTGACATAAAGACTTCTTCTAAATATGGTGGTGTTATGCTTTGGTCAAGGCAATATGACAATGGCTATAGTTCAGCTATTAAGCCCAGTGTTTGAAGGTTGAACCACTTGGGTCTATCACTTCCAGCTCTACAGGCTGTGTAATAAACTATACGGATTACAGTAAAACATTCGAGGAATATAATATGAGTTAAAATATCTTAACTTATTAACTTCTGACTTGAAACTTTTTTTCACCAGTTAAAAAACAAGCCAACATTATTCTTGGGACAAACTCATATGCAGGGTCAATTAGGTGACAATATGAGATTACTTCTTTGGAGAAATTCACATGCAGGGTGAATTAGGTGCATGATATGAGATAACCTAAAATGAAGTTACAGAACCAGAAGGCAATTAATATTCAAAAATTCACATTATAATTATGGGGGTAACTAAAGCCTAGTCATCACAATTGTGAAACACTTCAATTCTCCTTAAGCAATTTCAACTAGTTTAGGACTCTTAAAGATCCACAATGGATGAAAGAATGAGTCAAACCATTGACGTCGGCATTTCTAACCTTAAGCAATTTCTTCCATGGAAAATCGGCATACTCGTCTAATCACTAGACAGAATTATCACTAACCCTCCTTTGAAAGTTTTAAGTTTTGATTTTTTTTTTTCGTTTTTCCACTTAAACCCCCCGGCATTGTCAAGGGGCATTCCATTGACTATATCGGTAACTCCGTGTAGAGAGAAAATGATCGACTGAGCTAATAAATGCCGTTAAAATATCACACTTTCTTAATTTGACTTATTCTTGGCAAAACTCAGACGATCTGGGTTGATCACATCAACCCGAATCAGCATCTTGCGGCCATCCTCTTCTTCAGTCCAATCAATGGATTCCTTCTGTAGCTGCTTCATAATCTGCACAGGGAAAACTCAGGATATATCATTTTTCTTCCAGTCACTTTGCAGCAGACATGCAAGCATATGCAACAACAAAAACGAACTTGATTTTTCTATTAGTACTGTGCATAATATTGATGACAGCAAGACATCCATATGAACCAATATAAACAATAGTCTGATGGAACACCATTAAAAATAAGTACAGTTAGCATAGACATTATGCTTGGATTTGATTATGTTCAAATGTCTATCTATATTTCTCAGAATGTGAAATAATATAAATATAAAACCTTTGAAAGATTGATCTAGTTTTTAGATATAGACCAAATAAGCCAGCAAAACAGGGTTGAGCTGTCTAAAGAAGATTAAAAAAAAAAAAAGTGGTTGCTTAATAGGTGCATCATACCAGTCGTTTCCGAGCCCCTTTGCTGGTATCTTCCTCATTGGTCTCCACTGTGACCCTAAGGTACTTAATAGCTGATGAAACACATGATACGAACTCCTCATTAACTAATTGTAAGAATTAGGAATAAAGAATTGAGCAGAATGACCAACTTGCGATGCCGGAGAGAGTAGTTAAATGAACCCTAAGTAGCCGAACTGCTTGCTTTGGTTCAAGATAATGCAGGTCGAGAGACATTGGTTCATCATTCCTGCATGTGAATTTGAACCCGTCAAGCAACTTTCTGAAGCAGTAGAAAGATCCGATTGGTCAAGAAGAAATGGTTAACAAGTTTCATTTACCTGGCTGTGCAGATCTTTTCAGCAGATTTATCATTTGCTTCACTAGCTTTCTGCTTGAAAAAGTGTCCCTAGATATTCCAAGAAAGACATTTTTTGAAAAAAAAAAATCAAAGAAAGACATTGAAGACTGTTAATTTTAGATCCTTATTTGGGATCTAATTATGAGATTTTGTTAATATTATGGGCCTGTTAAGAGAGAAACCAATGATATCTCAAGTAAGACAAGTACTTAAAAAACTTATAAATTAATTCTTCCTCATAATCTCTCTACAAAAATAGCTTGATCCTTTAATACAAAAAGAAGCAGTAATGCTGGAAGTTATTTTTCAGAATTCTCGTAACTACTCATAACTAGCGATATTCCTTATCCTAGCCTTACCCCTTCTTCCCTCTACTTCACATCCTCCTGCTCACCAATACAGCAAGAAGGCACATAAAACAAAGAGAAGCAGTTGCTGGAAATTATTTTCAGGACAGCATAACTACTCATCTGTTTCTCCAAAATTTCTCCTACTAATACACAATACTTCATAAAAATACAACATATAAACCTATAGAAAATCAAGATTATGGAGCACATACACCTATCTATTTCTTCCTTCTTTAATGCACCTTATTAAAAGATGTTATTTTTCTACTTATGTTACTAACAAAGACCATTTACTAGAAGGATTTAAGGAGGCAAGCCTTTGTTAAAAAAGTAGTCCATGATGAGTATCCTAGCACTTCTAGCAGAAATTTCTTGCAAAATTATTTTCATTTCCAACAAGATCACAAAACCTAAAATGCAGCATCTCTCCTTTAACTCACAAAACCTTCCACAAATCAGGTTGAGCTATTGGGAAACATATCCATAAAACATCTACAATGAGGATTCCCGCTTACCATATAGCTTTATGTTATAAGTAATAAGAAGAGCAGAGACATTTTTTTGTAAGTGAATGAAATGGCAACTGCAGAGGTCTCTATTGCTATACAAATATATGGTCTTGCTCATCAGCAGAGAGGAGGGCCATATAAATTTTATTGCTGCAAAACAGCTTTAAGGAACACGTACCAGGGATTAAAAATTCAATCTTACTAGATGTTTTACGTGTTTCAATTTTCCATGCTTTCCTTGTCAGTGAGACAAGTGGTCCAACAAAAAAATAGAAATTTCCAATAAACAAAAATTTGACAAGCAGAAGACAAAAATTTAAAACTTGATAATTGAACCTAAAATCGTGAAGAAGTGGAAATCAAATGCCTAGAAATTCATGTGTACCAAAGTCAAATAAAACCATTCATCTTATTCTAGCTTTAACTAAAACTTGATAGTCCAGAAATTAATGATGGAGCAAAGTCAAAAGAGCAAGCCACTGATTTGTTAGTCTTTAACTCGATGCCACCAATATTAAAGAATATACAAAACTTACTTGCTCCATAAGTTTGTTTGCCCGTGCATGATCACACTTTAAAAATGAATCAACAGCCTGCAATACAACTGACTCTAGTCAGACAAGTATCATATTTGGTAATCTCAGACTAACTTTTTCCTCTTCTTTTTTTTTTTTTTTTTTTTTTTTGAGTTTTCTAGGATAGCATGAATAAAAAAGTGGAAGCATATGAGAATTACGTACTAACATGGGCAAAAACAAATTTTTCTATGGCAGTGAGGAAACTTCTGAGCAATGCTACAAAAAAGAACATGCACAGAAGAAACTAGTGTGCTATCATCTCCCTTTTTGAAGAAATCTGACCAATATTTATTTTGTAAGTTTCAAAACACATTCACTTAAATCATCCTCCCATCCTCCTTCCCCCCCACCCCCCCCCCCCCCAGCAAAACAAAATCAGTACTCTTCAAAATTCATTAGAAAGTACATTTTCCAAAGAGTTCATATCGTGCAAAATCTTACTGCTTTATAGTACTCTCTCATTGTAACCAAATATTCCTTCATGGCCTTACGAAGTGCCTCATAGCTATTTTCATCATCTTCAACATCTATCATGAATAATACACATGCACCAGAAAGGAAAAACGTCAGAAGGGAAGAATTAGTAAATCCATCAGAAACACGTTCATACAGTATGGAAGAAGAAAATAATTTCTCAGGCTTGAAAGAAAACATGGAACAAGCTGACACCATCTTTAGGCACATCTTGTTGTTCCACAGCAGCAATTTTAAGTTCTTGAGTGGTTTGTTTCAAAGGTTCAACAGCCAATTGACTAAATGCTCTAGATCTCTTCACTTCTCTAAATGTGCGGTTTTTCTTGGGCACTTCCTCAGATCTTTCTGGAACAGTAAACAATGCTTCTAGAACTTCTTTCTGAAGGTCAACTCTATCCTTTTGTATTTTTGATGAATTGGTTAAGTTTCTTGCCGCAAATTGAGCTTCATCACTGCACAAGCAAAAAACACACAGCTTGACTAATGCAAGAAGAAAAAATGATTACTTTTAACAAATAAAAAAGTGAGCAGAAAACAATATTCCTTTGAGCAGAAACTTGGTGTTGCAGCTCTGCTTGATATAAAATTGGCTCCTGTGCTGGACGTTTTCCTGTAGACTGGTAGAACAGATAGAGTCAGAAAATGAGAACTAGAAGCCTACGAGAAGGTAAATCATCTCTCATTCCACAGATGTAATGTGAGGAAAGACTGCAGATCACATTTTTTTAAAATCAAAAGTATAAAATTATCACTAATAACCGCACAAAGGGAGTGCCAATCCATTTACAAAGTATTTATACATTTACCAATATGTCAATAAAGTCCCCTAAACCCTCCATTGAGTAAAAAAGATGACCTAAAACTAAAAATCAAGAGTTTGGAACCATCTATTCCTAACAATGTCAAAATCATTAGTCATCTACCCCCTCAAAAGTTATTTTATTTCTCTCTTTCCGGACCGTCCAAAAGGTGGCAAGTGGAATGATGTCCGTGTGTTTCCTCTGTCCACTAATACTCTTCAACGCCTAGATCTCATCTCCAACTGAGTCCGCCCAGTTGATTCCCAAAAACTCATAAACCATCGTCTATAATTTGTACACCACCGAGCACCATATAAATACATGATTACAAGTTTCTATAGCTTTTATAAAGATATCAACCATTCACCATGATCTTGCCCCTTCTCATTAATTTGTCGATAATCAAAATGCATCCCATATCAGCCCCCCATGCAAAGAAAGCAACACTGAGAGAGACATTAACCTTCCAAATTTGTCTAAACGAAAACTAGTACCAGTATTTTCATGCTTGGCAGATGCTTGTAGAATGATTTCACAAAAAAGGACCCAGTAGTTGTCAGACACCACATAGGTTTGTCATTGCAGACCGCATAAAAATTATCTTACGGACAAACATGATATTCTAAATATCCAAGTTTATACTGCTGGACATCATTCGCTGACTAATTTAACTATCAAACAGAGCCATTCCTTCTGTAGTCATCCACGCTTTCTTGCATTCTCTTAAATTGGTGCAACATGAGATGCCCTACATCTTAGCACTACCCTCGTTCAAGCATGGTAAATTATGGAGTTTTAATGGGATCCTACATTAGGATTGGTGAGCTTGCACTACGTATCCAGCCATTTTCCTCTATCCAGGACTGTTAATCCCAAGTCAGCAAAAATGGGTATGATATTTCTCCCCAAAGCCTAAGCCCCTTTTCCAGAATAGTCTTCCCATGATTTCTAGTCAATAATCTGATCCATGTTAATAATCCTTAAATTGGTAATTAATTATCATCAGAATTCTTCATTGATTTTTTTTTTTTGGCACATATTTATTCATTCACCTCAACTGGATTTTAGATTCAAATTGTATATATAATTTTTATCATTATTTGTAAGAAATGGATCACATTACTAACAGGGCACCAACTGGTGCCACCCTTGTAGAAGGAGAGTGTACATAAAGAAATAGAGTATATAAGGTCCACTAATTCATAGAAATCATAAATAAAGTGATCCTTAAGTTTATACTGTTGAAAGAATGAAGCTAAAACACAATGTTTTTATTTCAAGAAAATCAATCAGCTTCTAACAAGAATAGATTTCTTATTTTTGAAGTCCTTTCACAAGTATGTGAAGTACTGCACATACAAATGCGACAAGTTAATTAGTTCTGCAATTTCAAACAATCATAGGTTATTCCTGTGTACACTAATTTCTTTCATAGTATTTGCATCCATATGTTTGAAAATATGAAGTCCAAATATTGGATTTTCTGTAGAAGTGGTGTAGTTACCCTCTCAATGGCTGCACTTTCAAGAGTGTCATTGTTCTCCATGGATGATGCTGATAAGTCAAGAAGTTTCTCCATACTCTGCATGATTGGAACTGGTGTAGGTTCAAATACAAAATATTTTAACCCATCAAAGAATGACATAAAACATGTAGCATGCTAAAAATATCCTAGAACACATATTAACAAAAAATACGAGGTTCAAACTTCATAAATACAAAGTTTCTTAGGAATGAAGAGACATTTGTTGTCGGTAATAAATTAGAAGTCGGAAAATTTTGCTACATCTCACCACATCTAAATGTCACCATTTTAATTGATTTCATATCACGTGTCCCCAAAAAACACATTATATGAGTGTCACAATTTTGTGGTGGTTGTCCACTGTCTCTTCAGTTTGATATAATTTCAAAGCATTAAGCTTTATGCATTTGTCACACCTATTCAACCAATATGGAAACTGTTTGGACTTCAGAATACACTTTACCTTTTGTAAATCATACCCGCAAAGGCCTGTACAATCATGAAATGGTACATTAAGCAGACTGTTAATATAAAAAAAAGTTCCGGAAACAGATAATATCAAATAAATAAAAGTAACATGCTGATAGAATAGAAGGAAAGTTGGTCTTGCATTGACTACAAAACAAACAGAAGATTACAAGACAATCAAGCTGGACAGCCAAAAAAAGTAGAATGTCTTCATACATTTCATCCTGGCAAATGGCCATGATATGAATCTCTGAGATGGGCCTAAGTTAGAATTATAGGTTATACTTTCAGCTCAATAAAAAATAATGAACATAGCTACAATTTGATGACAACAACAACAACAACCAATATAAAATATGAAAGAAATTAATTTGCTTCACTATATGAAGCAAATTAATTCACTGCAAAGAACGATCAAGCAGGTTTATATTGGTCTACTGCAAACATGTAATACTGCTGCATAAGGGAAAAAATTCAATGAGTATTCTTCAGAGAACTACACTATTTAACCGCATTACCCAGTGTTCATGTAAGGTTAGAAGAGTTCCAAGTACTTACACTATATTATACAAGTTTCAGTAGCCCAGTTCACTTGAATGAAATCATCATGTAATGTTATCCCAGTAATATGCATTATAATAACAATTTGCTGTCATAGGATAAGTCAGTATCACAAAATTAAGCCAATACCATCTCTGAGGTTTGAAACACAAATATATTGCTTCTTGAAAGAATTATTAGACAGCAGAACCGCCTAAAGAGATAAAGAAAGTTTACCAAGAACTTCACGGATAACACTCATGTCAAGTTGAAAGCCTTCTCCAAGCATTTTAAAAAGGAAGTCCTCAACATCAGTGTGCATTGCGCCATTACATGCTGTCTTAAGTGGTGAAACTTCTTCGCTCCATATCGCAGTGACTGGCAATTCTTTTGAATTTATTTTTACTGGTTTGGTTACTTCACAAGATTTATTTGGCAACGGTCTGGACCTGGTATAGGCCGTCCCAATCACTCCTGAAACAGTGCCCATTGATGCAGAACATCTCTTTGACTTCAATGCTCTGGCAGAGTTCTCTCTGTGATGTGGCTTCTGAACAAAACTATCAGACAGTTCTGGAGTCACTAGACTTGCGACATCAACCCCAGATGGTAGTCTCGAGGATATTATATTTGCACTCTGTAACTTATCTGCGGAAGAACTCCCAGTCATTGCAGAAAGAATTTCAGCAGCTGCACCAACGTTGCAGCTTGCTTGACAGTAAGCAGTGGCTATATCCTCAAGATGAAACTGAGATCCGAAAACTTCAAGCAACATTTCCAAACTCCCATCGTCAATATCACACTGCGTAGTGATTTCAGCTTTTTGCATTTTGTACCTGCTTCACATGACGAAAACAATAACAAATTAAGAGCACTCCAGAGTAGTGACAGGTTGAATTAAGAACTTAAATATCATGCACCTCTTCATATATTATGCAATCTACCAAAAAGTAAAGCATTAGTTAATAATGACTGAAACATTTCTGTTAATATTTGAAGAAGCCGCAATAAGAGAAAAAGAAGGGTGGCATGATGTTCAAGAGATTACCAGCCACAATTATCGATTTAAGGCCTCTTCATTTTTCTTTTCTTCTAATATTATATTCTCTGCGTTAAAACAGAGGAAGAGTACTTCGCAAAAGAAACTGCAACCAAGTTTTGAATTAAAAGAGAAACAAAGAGAAAATGTGCACCAAAAGTTCTCTTGCTCTTAGCCTTCCTTTTAGCGGAATCCAAAGAGAACTTTAAAAGCGAAAGAGAAAAAAGTTAAATCTAGTATTTGAAGAACGCGGCAATAGCAGCAGGATCGAGGAAACGCAAAGAACACACAAACACACATCTATCTTGATTTCCTCTATTCAACTATATCGAAGAAGAAAAATCAACGGAGTTCAAATTTTTCATTGTTATCTTTTCCTTTTCCATTGTCCTAAATTTTCTCTCTGGCCAAACACGTACATGAACGCCTATCAATACACACACACACACACACACACATATAAATATATCAGTATATACATTACCTAACCACAGTATCAAGCTCAGATGAGCCACGGATTAAAATTTGATAATGCGATTGAAAAACTGATCAACGGATATTCCCGATAGACTCTGAGAGGGAGGATTTACATTGAGAAGTGACGGATTGAATGAGAGAGATCCTGTTTGTCGTCGCTATCTCCGCGATATGCTTCTCGGAGAAGGAAGAGTCAAGAAACAGAGTGGGGTAGGAGGAGGAGTTTGTTTAACAGAAATGGAGAGGGAAATAAATGGTAATTTTCTAAAGAGAAATATATTTTTTTTTATTTCCGTCAAATTTAAAATATTTAAATAATATAATACATTTAGTATTATTGAAAACATTTGACAACTGACTGTACTGGCAGAAGAAAAGCGCCAGCCGTCAATCTCCTTCCGGTTAAGCCACGCGCCACGCGACTCCAAGCCAGTGGTCAGCACGCTCGGCAGCCAACGCTGCCCATTATCGTCTCGAATTTCAGAACCTATCAGCATTTGAAAAACATAAAACCCCCCCGAAACCAAGCAAGGTAAACGACGTCGAGCTCGTCGAAGTTCAATTGAATTTCATCAAGGTAGTCTCCTTTCTCTCTCTTTTCGTCGTTTATGAAATTGAATGTATGAATCGATGATACCGAGTGATGTTTGCCCCAGTTTTTCCTTCTTTCCAGTTAACAGTGTTGTTTATCTTAGCGATAATTATTCAATTCGGTATCTGGGTTAATTTCAACCTTAATTAGTTGCTATGGAGGTAATTTGTTGTTATGTCTCTGGTTATTAGGGTTCATGACTATAAATTTCTTCTAACCCTTTTTGACTTTCAGTACTTGTGCTCTTCAATCACTAATGGGGAAAATGAGAAGAATTAAAACGAAAAAGAAAAAGGGGGATTTTAATCACTGTGTTTGATCATTGGAAAAAATATATGTAGGAAAAAGGAAAGGGGCTAGTTTTGATCCCATGAGTACTGATGCAATTCTTCGTGACAGTTCTCTGCTCCTTTTTTCCATGGGAGAATCATTAACTACAAAATCCTTTCTTGTAAGACTGTATTGAGTAGATCAGAGAGAATAAAAGTGATGTTTTTGGCACATGAAAACACTATAGTTGTTTTTATTTTCTGTAATCACATTTTTATACAGTTTTATATGTATGTATATAAATTTTTTTAAAAAAATCTTATCTTACTAAAATTTTATTATTTCCATTTCAAACTAATGTCATGTTTTTCCTTACATTTCTTTAAAAAATAGTTTTTCATTTAAACTATAACATTTATGTGTATAAGAAATTAGAACTATAAAATCATTTGGATCATGTTTGTCTGAAGTGTTGTAGAAACATACAGGGACCTGAGAAGAGTCCCAGGATGTGGACCTTGAGTCCTGAAACTAAGAAGGACTGGATCCTTCCAGGCTCCAAGAGCAGCCTTGGGACCTTGGAGCAGTCTTGGGACTGTGCTGGGAACCTAGGTGCTCTTTAGATACCATGCAATCTCTAGACTCTAGAGCAATTCGGGTTCCTGTATAATGCCATGATTCGAAGATCCCAGATTTATCTTGCTTTAAGAAAGATAACAAAGGATGTGGCTCAATACTTGTTCAGTCTTAATGCACTAAACAAATGACATTTCAGTAAATTAGTTTGGTACTGTTAATATATACTTTGTACCATCCCAACTATATTATATTGTCGCATTTGTCAGGTACTACACTTGAACGCCATTAAGCTCTACAATATAGTAAACAGATCCTAACATTTGACAATGAGGACCAAACTACTTCCCATCTTTCGATGGTACTTTAAAAGAAAACTGCACAAACGAAGCCAAATTGACAGTGTTTATGAACACAAGAAGACTAAAAGATATGAAAAAAATACTAGCCTTGTCTTTTGTAGGTAGTGCCCCTAGCCAACGTTTTTCATTACCATCTCTGCTGCCATTTTGTTGCTCCACACCAGCTGGCCTTCCTGTGTATTAGGCAAATCCACCAGCTGTTGGAATTTATTCATTTGCTTCATTATTGGATTAGAATTTGTTGATGTATGTTGACAGAAAGCACTTGTATTGCCATTCTCAGATTGAAAATGAATGTTGATGCATGTCACTGAGAATTGGAGTTCCTTGATATTTGGAATTTATTTTGCTACTACCGCATCTGGTTTTCTTAGTGTATATAAGGTCAGAATTGTCATGTTATTATTCTCTTCACCATAACATTTTTTTTGGTGATTATCCAACTGTTTACTGAAAAATTTTGGATATTTTCAATGTGTTGTAAATTGGGATGTTTAGATTAAATGCATTTCTGAGATTTTTTTTTTTTTACCATGTTGATCCTTAGAATGGCTAAGTCTAAAAGGACTGTTTTATAGTTGGGAAGTTGATACTGGCCAGATCTGCTCTGTTACTATTATTAAAAAGGAGCATTGCATTCACGAATTTTCTTCTACTCCTTTTTGCTTTTTGGTTTAATTCATTATTTTTGTCATGTTATTGTTATCAAAGGTTCCTTTTAGCTCCTTCACTCTTCATTAAATTATGGATCAAGGACAATACTTAACAATTTATTATGCTGTTATACTCGAAGCAATTTTGCTGGTTTTTGCAGCAAGATATGGGAACCAGAGGAGTCATTGGAGATAAATGGTCCATGAGGATTCTCTGGGTCTGCGCACTTGGAAGTGCAATTGGTACGTGCATACACTTCTTTCATTGGAATCATTCTTAATATGTGTATATATACAGAAATTATACATCCACATCAATGTGATAGAAGTTTTTCAATCTTTCTCACCTCCACATCCCTTCTCATCTTGTTGACTTGTGACCATTGCCTGTGTTAGGTCTATACATGGTTGCTGTTGAAAGACAAACTCAGAATAGAGAGCGAATGATTGCTGAAAGTCTGAAGGCCATGGAATCAGAAGGCAGTAGCGAGAGTGCTTGAACATGGATCTACCTGTTCAAATGACAAAATGGCTCTACAATACCAACATTAAGAAGATTTTGGTAAGTTTGAAATTTGCAACAGCTATCTGGTCGGGAGGTAATTGTTCAAGTTTAGATTGTTTTGAATGGGTTTAGTCACGGGTACCCTGCAATAATAATAGCTTTTTATTTTGGTCTCATTAACCAATTTGGAGATGGAAGTCTGGCACTTCATAATTTTGTACTACTACATGAATTTTCCTGGTTTTAGGAGTGAATAAAAGAAATTTTGATTTAGTTATTCGTTAAATGTAGAAATTATTATTGACTTCTATATATCAAATAATTAAAATTTGTTGAAATATATTAAATTTTAAAATAATATACTGGCAAGTAATTAAATTCATATACTATGACTCCTAGTAATTTATCCTCATCTTTTTAACAAAAAAATCTGATTTAAATATATATATATATATAATTTTGTACCGGCAGAATTTTCTTTAGAAGAAGCATGCAAGAAAAATTTCATGGAGACTATAAAACCGCCTGGAGAACATCCATGCCTGCAAGCATACAAGCAAAGTGCCGCCATGAAATCTGCTGATCAAAAGCTTGGCTTCAAAAGGAAGAGCAGCAGGTAAGTTAGTAGCTCATACTAGACAAATGATTCCCGGATCCAAAGAACAAATTAGCAACTCATTCCTGCAATCATCTCTTTCTCCACGAGAAGCTTTCTGAACTATTGTTATATATAAACACCCAATCACCTTCGTTAATGGCAAACACACAACGCAAACTGAGATTAACAGAGAAATCAAGTTGGCAAAAAGATGGCGCCAAAATGTGCTCGTCTGGGATTCTTCTTGCTGTTTCTAATCAGCTTGACCTCTGCTACCAGGCTTCTCGTGGAGGATCACCCCGAGAACAAACGTGCTCATGTTACACAAGATGATAAAGAAAAACAGGACGGCCGCAACACGGGCACTGTGGTTACACAAGATGATAAAGAAAAACAAGATGGCTACAAGACGGTCAAGTCTCAGGGCGTGGGATACGGAGTCGGCCAAGGCAGTGGTACTGGTATTGGTACTGGCATTGGCTATGGTACTGGCATTGGCTATGGAACTGGGTCCGGAAGTGGTGGAACTGGGTATGGGTATGGTTTCGGGGCGGGTGGTTATGGTGGTCACGGCGAAGGAATAGGAATTGGATATGGGGCAGGAGGAAACGGGTGTGAGTCTGGAGGAGGTAATTGTCAAAATCCAACTTGCGGTGGTTCTTCTACTTGTGATGAATTTCCGGGTATACCAATCCAAGTTCCGGACCTTCCGAGGATTCCCATCACTGTTCCGGTCCCGTTACCCAACAGGCCAATACCAATACCAGACGAGCCTTGCCCGGTTGTTCCTAACCCTCCGGCCACCAGATGTGTACCTTGTAGTGGCAATTGTGAACCAGAACCACCATGTGTATATCGTCAAATGAAGACAGATAGTCACCAAGCTGGTGAATCCAACAGAGATCATGTAACAGAAGACGTCTGGATTGCCCAAGAACCCGCCCCATCATACTTTGCATTGGACACCCTCATGGCTGACTCTACCACAAGCTGACCATATTGGTAGACAGGGTTTTCATGGTTAGACACATCATGTAAAATCTTAATAAGAGCTTCAAAGCCATAAAGGGTCAATTGAATAAAACTTGCTTGACAGATTGCTTTCTTTTATAAACATTAGTATTAATACTAATCTTATATGGGATCACTTACATTCTGAAAGCTACAAAGATGTGTAAATTTCTGTGTTTGCACAATATTCACTTACACCTACAACCTGCAAGTATTGTATAAATATGTTAACTCTCCAGTGTCAGGATCTTATAAGAGAAAACTAATGTTGACCTTCTATTATTCTCTTCGAACTGGTAATGAACACGATCTAGGAATAGTTTCTGCTGGGAAATTCAACATGGTTGTTGAAGCAATGGAAGCAGATGGTCGAAGCAGAGGTGTGCCAATCCTACTTGAAACTTCGTTGGCAACCGGCGAGGGATTAATTGTAGTTGAGCCCAGTTGCAACTCAAGTTCACTGTCTATGTCAAGGGCTGTTTCAGGGATATCAAGCATTTCACGATCGTCTTCCTCCACAGACACAACCGTGCTGGTTTCTGTTCGTATGGTTGAATCATCAGCAAAATGTCCGTGCCTTCTTTTTCGCCTAGCAGCTTTGCCCCAGCCATGAATTGTCTCTCTAATCCTCTGCGGGATTAGAGCCGCTTTATAGTTTGTTCCCATCTGAAACAGTTCAGAGATCATCATATATGCTGTGGCAAATACAGGTTATATAGGCTGCCATATAATGTGTGGTGTCTATATATAATATAATTACCTGAGTGACCAATGCATATAGTGGTAGAGTGCTGTAGCTGCAGAGAAACTGTCCGGCAAACCTGCAAGATATGAACAATTGTCTCACCTGTAAATAATTATGTACCATAAAGTTCCCACAAACCGAAATATATGCATATAGCATACCCCAAAATAAGTCTCAGGTACACCAGAAAATGGTTCCTGATGAAGCATGAATTGTACCCAAATTGCCACTGCATGATAATAACAAAAGTCGGTTTAGTTAAAACAAATATATCTGTCGTTTCATAAATCCTTACATTTCTATTCACTATAACTACATAATATGTCTCAAACTTGCATATAAACTCAGAAAGAAAATGACTAATTAATCATCTATACTCTTGCCAATTCAATTTCTTCCCATCCAAAATGTTGTTGAGTTAATTCAGAGACATCGATATGGCGGACGTAAACCCTACGCCAATCTCTACAACACCTAACAGACACTAGTCTAACTGTTGTGGAAGAGGGAGTACCCAGAACCAGAAGAATGAAGCCAGTTCAAATGCATTCTGCAAAGGTCACAGAAAGGAAGATGCATGTTAGTTGCAAAACTAAAACATGTGAAATCCATAAACCATCTTTTTATCAAAGCAAACATTGTATCTAGCTACAAGCTTATAATGATGCTATTGAGTATGTCATGATAAACATTTGCAAACCTGGAAGAGAATAAAATGAATAAGGGATAACAAGAGCTCTGGCTTCTTGAACCAGAAGAGATCATCTCGGGGCCTCAATTTCCCCGAAGAATATTCAGCTAAGCCTGCAGTCTCCAGCGCCAAAGTTGCAATAACATGCTGCAGTTTTGCACCCACCAGAAGAACGAGCTGGCAAGTGAGGATTTAAATCAGAACAATGTGGTAGAATAAATGTTAGTGAAGGAGAAACCACATACTTCTTATGTAGTATGCTCAACATATATATCACTCTAAACTGAAAAGAAAAGTACTCACAGTAATGGGAATGATGGCTATCCAGAAATAGAGATTAGATCCTGTGAAAAATAGAAAAATCAAACAATTAATTTTATCCGAATTCAGAAGGAAAAAGTACAACATGATTATGTGACGGTAATGTCAATATAACGGACAAGAAAAAAGATGGTTCTACCTCATTGAAACTTATAATATTTCATTTTATTTATCATTCAAATATGTCATATATCAACCAACGAGTCTTAACTCACTAGTTATTTTTTCTCCATCAGGAATGAGTAAGGATTTAATCTTAAGTCAATCTCGGCACCATAGCAAAAGTGGTTTGAGCTATTTAATTAATTATGTTACCTATTTTCTCTCTTGACATAAGAAAAAACTATGAGAACTTCATACTTACAGTACTCCTAAAAAAATTATATGCGATTTACCTTTCACATTGAACAGCATGAAAGCAACAACAAATCCCCACAAAGGAGCGCTGCAAAGATTGAAGAATTCGTATTTTAGCAGGAGAATCTCTCAACGGAACAAAATTCATAACACGTTAATCTCTGCAAATGCCAAGGAAAACAGAAGGAAGGAAACTCTACACAGCTAAGATTTCAATTGTTTCAAAATCTTTTATATGGGTTAACATTTGATACAGTTCTCGATCATTCAGTAACCGTCAGTTCAAGAATTCATCTCAAGTTGCAATATTTCAATTGTGCAAGCACTTTGTTTTTACTAAAAATCTATGAGAGACACTTTCATCCAAATTATTAAAATTGACTATGTGTACCCTAGTTTATAACTATGGAAAACTTATAATTCTTCTCTTTCACATTGTGCTTTACATTTACTGGATTGCCTCGTGTTTCATAAGGGTATATGTAGAGACTGAAAGAACTAGTAAATATAACCTTTTCTGTTACCTTCATTTAGAAACAAGAAGTGTTTTAAGATAAGAGTGGAAATATGCCTGACAAAAGAACCTAAAATCTTATACAGTATTACCTTCACAGCAATTCAAAAATCCTCAAACTGGGTAATACAACTTTAAACAAGAGACAAGGGAACCATATCTATATAGTGATGAAAGAACATCACTTACCTAACACCAACAATCCTCTGAAATTCTTCTTCCATGGTACGAATCATGTAGCTGTGAAAATCATATTTTAATGTAAGGTTGTGATTCTGCCATGAGTAAGAAGTGAGAGGAGTAAATAATAATTACAGTACTCATGTCTCTTCTTTGAAGAAACACTAAAAATCGTATAACTGAAATAAACAGTAACATTGAAAGAAACCTGTTTGAATATATTGTAGAGTGAAAAATAAAGCACATTCATGATAAACTCTTAAATGATTAAAATATTACATACCATGATAAAGCCTTTGCGAAGTGTAAGGTAGTCAGAGCGAACAACTGAACGCCCAAATTGCCGGAAGAAACATGTCTGCCCAGAGAGAGAGTTCACAACTTAATCATTTCTTGACATAAACATAAATCATCTTTATCCAGTATTTTATTGAAGCTTCATGAGAATAACGGCCTTCAAAATAAATAATCAGTGGCGCTAGAATGTATCTTCTAGTTCGAAAAAAGAAAAAAGGAGGTAAGAGAACATAAATAGAAGAACTAACAAAAAAAGACAGCAAGAAGAAGGTGAGAAGGTAAGCAACAAGAATAAGATAGAAGCCTTCCACCTACCACCCAGATAAGAATAGCATTCTTGGCTAAAGGAGATGATACATGGTGTCTGACAAAAGTTGTTTGCCTTCGCAGTGTCTTTTCTCGTGCAATCTCTGTTACAGAACAATCACCATCTCTGATCAGTTATGCAGGACATTTGTTTGAATATTTTTAACAATGTAAAAGTTAAGGGTATGCCTTAGACCTGAAATCAGAGCGATTGGATAAAACTTTTTCTAGTATGTGCTTTGATTTAATTTGTGCAGTATTTATATATATTTACAGAGGAGAAAATCTTGAAGATATTCTAGGAGAAAATCTAATAAGATAAAGCCTAAATCAGTCAAGAATTAAGGATCCTAATAGGAAAGGGAATCATGCTAGAATCAGGAAATTTTAACCAGGATTCCCTTAAATATGGAATGGTTATCACTTTCCAATCCTCCCCCTCGAGCTGGTGAATATATATCAATCATTCCCAGCTTGCTTATATTTGACTTAAATCACCTTTAAGTAGTGCTTTAGTGAACATAATGGCTTCTTGTGATCTAGTTGACAGATAAGACAAATTTATTTTTCCACTTTCAATCTTGGTCTTGATCAAATTTCTGTCAATTCAAATATGTTTCATACGATCATGCTGTATGGGGCAATTGCAATTGCAGATTTACTATCACTATATAGCTTCATAGGACCCTCCAATGAGATACTTAAATCTGATTATAGTCTTTCTAACCAGATTAGCTCACAATTGCCTTGTGCAATTGCTTTATATTCTACTTCAGCACTGCTTCTAGCTACTACAGTTTGTTTTAAACTCCTCCAAGTAACAAGAATTCTCTATATGCAATAACTAGTAGTGGACTTAGTATCTTCAACTGATCCTGCCCAATTAGCGTATGCAAATCCCTCCATTTCTCGGCTATCATTTTTCTTAAACAAAAGTCCCTTTCCAGGTGTACATTTTACATAGCTGAGAACCTGATCAACAGAATCTTGATGTCTCTTGGTTGGAGCATGCATGAATTAACAGACCACACTAACACTATAAGCAATGTCAGGTCTTGTTAGTGATGGATAAATCAGTTTCCCAACGAGACATTGGTATCTTTCTTTGTTTGCTAGAGGATCATCCTCAAAATGCTTATGTCTGCAATTTTTTTCTAGCAGTGTGCCAGCAGGCCGACACCCACCCTAGCTTTCCTGTTTCCTTTAATATGTCCATAGTGTATTTCATTTGGGAGATAAAAATGCCCGACTTGCTTCTAGTCATTTCTACTCAACTGTTCACAAGTATATCAGCTGCACCTTGAACATGTTTAAGGGAATTTCAATTGAATATTGCAACTATAAAACTAAGGCGTAAGGAGTGATGGCTTTTGATTTTCAGGTAGCTCACTCACCTTTCCATTTATTTAATTTTAGTCCTGTCTAGAATTCCATGTGACTAAGTAAAAAAATATTTCTTCCGCAAAGAAACCAACCTCATAACGTCTCATCCAAACAAGAAAAGAAATCTAAACTCTTGACTTCTCTTGCTCTGCCAGTCTCATTCAACTTTCAAATCCTCTACCCCCCTCTTATCAAATAGAGCTAATGGCGTTAAATCCCGTGCAAAAATTTCTCTTAAATGATACTTTTATGACAAAGTATGAATATCACATATCCCTAGTGATCATTCAATTTAAGAAGTCAAAGAAGAGATGTCAGAGACATTGATAGCTGTTCACCAAAACCACTAAACAGATTTAGAGCTCACCGTTTAAGGAATTATGCCTGTCCATAAGAGCTTCATCTTCCCACACCCTCCAACTATGAATCTGGCCAAGCAATTACAACAACAAATTGTTAGTGAAGAGGGAATAGTAAACCTATTTTGGTCTCCCGGTCTCTATTACTTCTTCCATAAGTGAGTAAAGATTGAGACTAATACTACTTTTTTATTAGAGATTCCAATGACAAATATAATGTTCTCTCTCCTCAAAGAGAATTCAAAATCAAGAACAAACAATAATGTGAACTTTCCATTTTCTTCAAGTGCTTTGTTTGGCAGGATTATCAGAAAACATGAGCACCACCATCTTCAATATTCATTATCATCAATTGGCTTATGGAGGAAAATCGGACTTAGAAAGCTTCTTATGATTAACCACCTCCTATATTTATCTAATCTACACCAAATAAAGAATAGAATTTATCTCCTACATTCAATCTTTTTCTTCCATAGGAAGTAAATCTTCTGAAAAAAATACCAAAGAGCAAAATCTCAGTACAAGATAAACCCAGTGTCATGCTAGATCTTAGGGTGAATTAGTCACTCTTGGAACACATTTACTGAGCTATATAAAACCCACAATCATTTGCATTGCGATATGGAAACAATACACCAAGAAGATCCAGATAACACGAATACACACACAAACAAAGACTAATGCATATATAGCCAAGCATCTGTTCGGTGCAATTACAAAAAGAAGTTACAACCTTAACAATTGCAAGCAGCATTGTTAAACAGCTGTAAGATATATGTGTGATTGCCATGACAAAGATGAAGCGATGCAACTGCTCAAGACCTTCGTATGAAACAAATGGTTCATTACCCTGCATAATGAAATAGTTAGCACAGTATGTCACAAACACTTATCCTTCAGGAAAAAAAAAAAAAAAAAATTGCGAACTTCAGAGCAACTGTGAAAAGAATTCTACCTAGAAATTGATTGATCAAGTTTTTTTTTTTCCCAATAAACAGTGGTTGATAACTGAAGCTATGTAAAACAATAATTTTTTTTATGGACAAAGCACATGCCTCTTTGCAGGTATTTCGATCCACTCCATTCAACACTCTCCTAAATGGATGAGGAAAAACAGAAGCCATCAAAAGTTTTCTTTCTTTGGAAGAATTGTCTTCAGTTTCTGCATCAATCTCAGACCGAGTGCATGGAGCAAAAGTACTGTCATAGAATCTTGATGGAATGCAAAAATTAGCTATTGTGCTAGATGTAGCTGTAAGGAGCAGTGAGATGAAGCCAAGCAGCATCAACTCTGAAGACAGAAGCTCAATGAGGAAAAAAAAAGGCTTGTAAATAAGAATGAAAAAAACAACGCACAGTAAAAATTACTTCTTTAGAAACACTGGTTAAAAGCACATCAGAAAGAAAGTTAAGAAGTATTTCCAACGATTTCCAATTATATGTTGAAATTTGAAGCACCTTCTTTCATTTTCTCCAGAGCAGCAAGCAGAGGTTTTCTGTTAGTTTTCCGCAACCACTGTAAACAAAATGCATTCGGTTGACTATGCGCACAAAGAAGAGCAAAATCTATTTTAAACCACATCTAGAGACAATATTCAGTGTATTCAGAACTCCGGGAAAAACTCGGCTGACTTAAGCCATAAAATGGAGTGTATAGAAAGTAGTGATCTTAATTGCAAGCTTTTTCTTGCCTAAATTACAGTATATTTAGATACAGTTTCAAGAATTATACCAAGAAAACTTATTACACAAATTCATGGAAAGCTTGAGGAAATGGTTGAAAAAACAACTATTCAGTCCCAGCCACAAGTTTATAACGCATGAATACCCCTCTTTGTTCACAATGCAAGCTGAGACCTGAAAGTTCTTTTTAACTGAAAAGATAACAAAAAAGAAATTCATATCTTAAAAAGTACTTCAAGGGATGGATATCTTCCAAGGAAAGTGAAACATATGACATCTGGATTAAAATATAAATCACTTGATCATAAAGTGAAACATATCAAGAAAAAAAAAAAGGTCAAACCACTGTGAATTTGATTCTGACAGTGAGAGACTGAACTGAGAACTGAAAGTCTGAAAGACAAGAAAAAGACATGGATTAAATACCCAATACTACTTACATTGCTTAAGCGATGAATTGAGCGCTCCACAATCAAAGAAACAACCACGAAGACCGTCAACACAGTAGCAACAGACCAAGTTGGTGTAAGCGCCAATGATCGCATTTCCTTATCATTTTCCTCCATTCCAAGCAAACACTATCAATAGATCCCGATCTTTCCTTCAAATTTGACCCTCTAAATTCCTTTCCACAGACAAACTTCTGTAACACGTCCTTGATCACAAAACATAACCGACCTCACGGAAAAAAAAAAATCCAGAATTCCACTACGTAAACTATTGGAGAAAAAACAATACTAATCCTCCATAGACAACAAGTCGGAAGCTTTGACCTGTTCTTTGAAGAAGAATACAAATCAGACAAAATCCAGAAAAGGGTCCTTCTCACTCAAACCTTTTTAAGCCAACTTCAACCCGAAAAGGAAAATGAAGACTACAAATGTGCTGAAAAGGTAAGTTAAAAAGAACCAGCAAAGTATATGCTTTGCTTTACCATAAACCAGGTGTCTATGACGATCTGTAACTTAGAGAAGTTGACTAGAGAAAACTTCAAACGCGTGAATAGTTTGGCTTTTTCCTAATGCAATAAAGTTGATCCAGGCAGTATACTCCCCCCTTTCCTCCTTCCAACTAACACACCCAACACTCCTTTCTTGTCTTTTTCTTCTTTGGAGATCCACAAACGTGAAGGAAGCTAAACAACAATTAAATACACTCGCCAAACAAGACGCTAAGTCCTCAACAAAATGCAGTAATGACCCAACTGCCTTCGCGCGCTCTTTCTCTCTCTCTGAAATGCGGTGGGCTTGGCTCAACTGCTCAAGACAACGAAAGAACAGAGCAGGAAAGGTTGAATAAGAAGCAGTGTTTGAAACATGGATTTGAAACTCCGAGACCAATCCGGAAGGAAGGTAAAATGATTCAACAGTACACTAAATGAAGCATTTTTTCATACAGTTCCAGAGAAACCAGTAAAACCCACCAAATAAAGTGGGAATTGATTCACGCTGACAGAAAATTATGCATGTAAAAAGTGAAAACAGAGAGAGGAAGCAAGAAACAGAGCAATTTTTTCGTAG